CCTAATCCCTATTAGTACTCAAACCAAATTTTTAGTTTCAGATGTTGACTACTCTACACAGATATTGGATACATTGAAAAAAAAATGTGAGAGTAAGGGGTAAAATATTTATAAATTCTTATTCACTTATATCAATAAACATTGAAATAAATAAATTTTTTTTTTCAGAAACTCGAAAGCAAGTAATATATGTGCCGGTGGAATCAAAAACAAGTTTAATAGAGTAACATAAATTTTATTATCAAGTATCACATTTAAATTATTTCAATACAATTCATAAGCTTGTTTATTAGGAAAAATTAAGTTTTTGCATCTTAAATGAATTCAGCTTTATATAAATGTACTAGAAATTATTTGTAAATAAATAAGCATAACTTCATTAAATTTTATAAAACAATGTAATTAATTCTGTGCATAAAAATGTCTTCATATTGAATAAAATTTTACCAACCTTTTTTACACCATTTTTTTTTATGTAAAATTTTATTTTTCTATATTAATATTTAAAGAAAATAAACTATTGAATGGACTATATCATCTCATAAATACCCACATCCCACAAAGCTTATACATTTTTCTGTATCTATGTAAAAAACGAAGATTTGAAGATTATAAAACCTCTACACATGTCACTCCGTTTTTAAGGTTATTAATTGCAAAGATACTATATTGCTGTAACATGCATGATATGAATAATGAAAAATAATGCTCATTCTACAGCCTCTTTTATTTAAAATCATAAAATAAGGAACATATCATACCACAGACATCAAAATTAAATGAATAAATACTATACATAGGTCATAAAATACAGATCTGTATAATATTTATGGGTCTCCAAAAAGCAAAGATTCCCTCAGTCTTTATATAAGACATCTGAATGTGTGTAAACTAGCTCTAAACTGAATTCAATAGTTCATACACATAGACTTGAAATTAAATTTATTAACATGTGAGTCAATATAATTCAGTTGAGGACCTAGAGATCAATCATGTGTTTGCAGCTCTTTATAACTGACCACACATTTATATTGCATATTGTCCAGTGACTCACAGCTCACTATTGAAATTTTTACCACATAAGCTTAATGTTACTACATGAAGACAAATATCCCTGGCACCATAAATAAGAAGATGCAGGTGATGCATATATAACAGTGTTTGACAACATTAATACTTCCTACTTTGGCCTACCTCTAGGTTAAACCCTATTGTTGTAAAAAGTAAGGCTGTTAATAAAAACAATAAATTGATGTATAAATAATTAATTTATGCATTAAATATCATTATAAAAACAAGTAAGATACCAAATCAGCCTTTCAAATACTAAAACAATTTTCCCGCACAGCTTGCATAATTTTATTTTTACTGGAAACATTTGCTATTCATATGCAAGTATGAATTTCATTTAAAATTCAGGACTGTACTTTAAGATAAGAGAAGACTTTATCTATGAATGTAGATGAAATGGGAATGTTGTTTGAAATGCAATTTAATAATAGTTAAAATGCTGGATAATAATATGTTCTACTAGAACACTACATGTACCACAAATTAAGTATTAGTTGCTACCAAACCAGTTTTTATAATTTAAATATACATTGCACTTGATTATATGATAGTTACATAATGTAACAGTACATAAACATTTTTCTTTGTTTGTCAAATGTTAGTCAAAGTCTTTGCCGCTGAATTTATTGTAACTATGTAACTGACCTTCATAAGGCAGGGCCCTTCGGCTTACTCTGACAGGTGTGTTGGGCTTAAATAACATAGCTAAAAGGATATAAAAACCGCCAACAATTTTACCGAAAAAGTCCAGAATTCCTAAGAACATGGGAGTAGAGTTTTTAACAAAAATAGAAATTTCTCTTATCAGTGCCAATATGAAGTTTCCAAGAAAACTAACAAAACTTGTACTGCCAGTAACAACTGCAATGGCAAAAGCAATTAAAAATGTGAAAAACTCTTTTACATTTGTTATTGATAAGGCACTTTTTATGCTGGTTAGCAGATCATTGTAAGATTCCTTTAATGATACTACACTGTTATCAAGAATATTTTCTGAACTTTCAACATTTTTCTTTGCCAATCCTGTAAGAATTGGTTCCATCTCTAAATAAGCATCAGAAATATGCCTTATGCATTTTAATACCAATAAAACTTCATTTTCTCTAAACTTGACACTTTTAATTTGAAACCAAAAAGCCCCAAGTGGTTGATCATCAATCTCCGTCCAGATACAAACGCCGCTGAAATTTCCAATTTTTTCTGCATTTGTGACGCCAATCCAAAGTCCATTGGAAAATATGCTTCTTAATTTTGCTTCGGCTTCTAGTAAATCTCGTTTAAGTTCAGTTTCGGCATTACTCAAAAGTACAATATCACGGTAGCAGCTAAGTTGATCGTTTAATCTCCTTTCTAAATAGCGGCCGAGGAAAATTCGAGATTTCAACAAATCTTTTACGTATTTCTTGACCGCTGCAACCTCTGGATCCTCATCACAACCTATTTTTGATGACGCAGCTGATGTATTTAGGAGGCTCCGTCCTTCGCACATCATTTTAGATTTTGTAATTTAATAAACACAAAACACCAACACACAATATGTATAAATGTAAAATAAAAAATATTGACGTTGACAATTGACATGTGTAATTTTTGACATCGGGGCACAAAATGTTGCCAGAAGTTTACCTAATTGTTTCACTGCACAGCAGGCAACAGGAGGCTTGACGAGAAAGAATCAGCGCACAGTGGGCAATTTTTCAGTTTTTAGAAACATTTTTGTCTGATATTTTTGGGTACCTATTTTCCTTGAATTCCACATTAAAAACGACAATCGTTTAAACTTTTCGTAAGTAATTAGACAAAGACGAGGAAACTATAATAATAAGGCCGTAGCTTTTAAATGTGTCTGTACGGAATTTGTTATTTGGAAGAAGGAACGTAGTTTGTCTGGTTGCATGGGACAAGACAATTGTTCTGCAGTGGAACTACCTTGACTGTACAAGCGTACAAGCATACGCGGTCGGGACACTTCTGTGGGAGCGCTTTCTTCTACCACCAACATCAGGCCCATCACAACAAACATATGCAGGTAACCACAAACCGTTATAAAATTTCAATGATATAATGAAACAACTATTTTTATATGTAAAAATTTGTACAATTTATTAAATTTAAATGATACAGAGAAATGTAATAACCTACCATAGAGGTAGTAAAATATGATCTTAATATTTACAAACTTTTTATCTAAAGATGATTCAAAGGTTGAAATAACCTAAAGCTGTCAAACCATTATCCCTTTTTCAAATTAACGCTTAAATTTTATAAACAGTGATCATTTTTTATGAAAAACAACCATGACACGCTGTACTTCATACACGCTAATTCATATTTTTATCGAAAAATTTAATTTTACGAGTCACATGTGTGCTTTTTTTTATAAAATTTAAGCCATTTATTTAGCGAATATATGAATTTGATTAATATGGTAGAAAGAATTTAAAATTCTAAACTTTAAGAACTTCAGATAAAAAACACTTAATTCAACATTTGAACAGAAATTAATGAGTTTAAAAGCAAACTTAAAAAAAATGAGATTGGGTTGTTAAACAAAAAATGCCACCAAGGAGGAAAAAAAACAAAAAGACGTATGGCAATCGTGCACAATAAGTCTGATGTGGAATGCATTATTATCGCCCTTGTTATTATTTATTCGAATATTCAGCGAATTTCTAAGCTTTACTTTGTTCTTTAATTTTATTATAGGATATTCAAGAATATAAAAATCCTAGACGGGCTGTGCTACCACCATTTTTATTAAATCACTTACTAATGCTCAAAAAATATTTTCCACATTTTTTCAAAATATTTCAAAGTTTATTTTATAATTCTAGTCAAGCTATATTATCCCAAAAAATATTTTTTGCACACTGTACAAGCACAGACTCATCTTCGCACTTATGGCAAGTTATTGTGCACGAATAACATGATTTGATTGGAAAAAAATAAGTCATAATTAAATTAAAATTAATACTTAAAACAATGAGAAAAATATATATGCTCTTGAACAGGCATCCAACATTATAAAATATATAATATATATTTATAATATTTAAAACATCTAGCTCCATAAAATTTCATAAACAATTGACAACATAATGTAACCTACTGTACGCTTTGCATCTATTTTTTTTTTTAGTAAATATTTAATTACCCTATACTGTAATACAGAATTGGTGTTCATTTACATATTACTCATTAGAATATCAAGGAAAATTACGGTACGAGAATTTAATTTCTAATAAAGAATGTCAATACTTAGTTTATAAAGAGACGGACTTAAAGCCTGCAATAAATAAGTGCTAATACATTGTAGGACTATATTTTAACGATTCTATTATATTGCAATCACAAATGAAGAAATTCCTGAATACTGTAGGTGAGATCTTGTCTCTTATTTACTAAAACATATCGGTATCCCTGTCATTATGTTTGACAAAACAGAGATGACAATATGTTTTAAAGGGATATTTTGTTCTGAAAAACCTACGAATAAAATGATTGTCAATGCTAGATCTCATTGTTGTCATTAATTATTAGAAATAAAGGGTGTTCAATTGTTAGTCTCATTTTTTATTCGACAAATTAAGCTGAGTAAAAAAGTGTTTTGTAAATACTATAAAATATGAACTTTAGACTTTCTCATAAAAAAAAATAATTGCAGAAATTTAAGTACTGATATTATTCTTAGGATATTTAAAGTGCATTTTATGGAAAATAAAATAAAAATAATTGTCTCATTTTTGCTTATAGATAAAGATTCAATTCATAGATAAAAGTTCGCTTACATTTGAACCCCCTTATTCAGGTTACAGGGTTTTAGATATTACGAAAGTCTGATTATGAAAGATAATGATTGTTAATTAATTTCATATAAGCTTAATTTAATTTTATATAAGCTTTATTTACCAAGAAAAAATGAGGATCAAGACATAGGCTTCTATTTAGGCCAAATAGTATAAAAATTGATAATGTTTTCAAGAAAACTACATAAAGCTTACTCTTTATAAAATACTATTTTTCCATCATTGGAATACCACACAGCCCAAAGGAGGGACTTCGAATTCCCTTAAAATATTCTCCATTCTTATATTTTACTACACAATAAATCATGTTATTTATAAAATTTGCAATAGCAAGATTAGCACATTCTTGTAGTTACAGTAACAGTTTTTTTACTAATTTTTTGTCAAAATCAATAACAGCTTGTTTCAAACCGCCAAATAGTCTGGTTATTACCAGTTTTCACTTCTTTTATTTCCTAATATGATTAGGACAAAATCATGTTGACTTTCAAGATAGTCAAAGTACACCAAGACCATATCGTAAAGCGTTTAATCGATAGTCAAATATATCGATTAAACTTTAGTATATCGATTTTTCGACGATATCGATTATCGACTCTCTTAGCAGCGCTACTTGACGATAAGGAATCCATGCACGCTCGACAGGAATTTATCAAAGTTATCCTGGAATCGTATCTTATGTGGCCTATAACCATCGAAGAGTACTCCATTGGTTAATAACCTGAAGGCATCTTCTAGTCTCGGTACATTAGTTGGATCGTTGGCTGCAAATGCTTCTATAACTTGTCGAGCTAAACCCTCCAGGAGAGATGGTCTGACGCATGTCAAAAAGTAAATGGCAGCTCCCGCCGCTGGTATTGAATCTGGTGGTATTTCCATTTTTAATATCAACATTAGTAATAATTGAGCTAAGCTTAATAACGCGGCCGAATATCGATTATCTTCTCCCATAGCCTGCGCTTTATTGGACAGACCGCCTATTGTCTCGCAGCACAACGTGGACACGTCGCTAGACACTGCGGTCAAACCGATGCGTAACGCAGCGATCACCATGTTGAAATCTTGTATCGGTAGATTTGTGAGCTGAAAACAAAAATCTAACTATAGTATCTACAAAACGAATGCATGATCTTGATGAAATTTGGTATATATGTGGTACATAGCCTGGAAGAACACGAGCTAATAGGTTTTTTTTTAATTCCGAGCGGACGTAGTCAAGGTCACAGCTAGCACTAGATATCATATAACACAGTAATATTACAAAACTTGACTCGTTATTTTGTTCGCCTTTTAGTGCAGTACAGAAATGTGAAACCAGTATATCTTCATTTTCTTCATCAGTATTCTGAACCATCTATATGCTACTTCGTTACTATGATGTCCTAGTACCTCGTCAGCCTGCTCCAGGTCTCTGAGTAGACGGAATGCGGAGTGCGCGAGCGTGGGCAATGCGAGTAGTGATGGCGTCACCAGCGGCAGCAGCAGACGCAGGCCACGCGCGCACCCCCCGTGCACACTGCCCCCCGTGCCGCACGACAGCCACCGCACCAGCTCCATCAGCGCTATGATGTCCTGGTATACAAGATAACAATAAAAAAATAACTAACGTAGACAAAACAAAAGGTGTACGCTAACATTGCCAAATAAAATCCTATGCCTTTCATTTTATTTCTTTTATCAGGAAACAAAAGCATGTTGCTATCTCTGTTTTTCTTTTCAAAAAGAAAGAGATGGATGATATGTTTTTATACAGATACTTCATCAAAGAAACCCCATTAGACGTACGTCATAAGCTTCCTCTTCTACGTCTTGAGGTATACTGGAGATTTTGCCAGAGTTCCACCGAGCGTAAACTTCGAAGGTCGTGTGACAAATATCTACGAACCTGTAACAAATTATTCATTTATTAGAAAATTAGAAAAAAAATTACATACAATCACGCACGCGTACGTTTAGTTATACGTACACGAATACGCACTGATCCGTACAAGTGTACGTCTCTATATGGGAAAGGTCAAATAACATCTTACTTAGTAAGAATTCTAATGTAATAATGTGAATATTTGGATGTATGTATGAATGGATAGATGAATATTGGTTAGAAGGTATCTCCAGAACAACTACATGGATCTCGCTGTAATTTAGCATACATGTAGAACATAGCCTGGAAGAACACATAGCCTTCTAATTAAGTTTTTTCTTAAGTCCACCCAGACGGAGTCTAAGGCTACTAGCAATATAAACAAAGAGTTACTTATTAACGATATCCTGGTCCTGGCAATGCATCGCGTTCTTAGCTGACTTGGCGAGGAGGTTGAGAGCTGGCAGCACCACGCCCGGGTAGTTGTGGTACTTGAAGATGATGCCCGGGATTTTATCTAACGCGTTGAACAGCATCGTCACTTGCTCATCCATTGTTGCTATCTGTGGATAAACGAAACAATAAAAATTTTACAAAACAAAAAAAAAACAATTTTATATGTAAATGAATCTCTTTTTTGCCTAAATAATCACATTTATTGTAAGCGCATGGTAATAACACCTAATATTAGAGGTACTTGGGACTCCGTTGTCTAATAATACCTTGTTACCTCACACACGACATGATATTACCTCGTAGGCTTGACATTCTGTTACCTCAAAAACATGTTACCTCGAGCATTCCCTCCGAGATGCCGCAGTAGCAGTCTAGGATGTCAGCCAGTGTGGTGCGCACAGGCTCCGTGTCTTCCTGCACATTCAACAGCGTCAACAGCTTCTGTTGCAGCGCCGCCGTACTCGCAACCAGACAATTCTTTGCCTCACCTATACAAACTGCTAATTAACACCAACTTTTCTGCATTTTCAATTTCATACATAAAGTCCAATTGAATAGAAATGAGAAATTATAAATCCAACTCAAACAATTTTACCTTTATAAGGCTGTAATCAACGAACTTTTAACGTGTTACTGTGGATTTCAAAACATATTGTCATCCCTTTTATTCTCTTTAAGAAAAAAGAGACACCAATATGTACCAATAGTCCCATGAATCGATTATTAAACTTTGTTAATAATGGGAATCTAATAAGTAGATTTTTTTATATAGAATTTAGTATCCAACATTACCTTCTGTATAGGAAGCGAGTCGTGCAAACACCTTATGCAGTTCTTTTCTCACATTACCCGGCAGATCATTTCCTGACACTTCCCACGCCACAAGAGCTACGAAATCTTCACAATTCGCCAGCTGATTTCGACTGCGAATAAGTAAAATTATGCAATTATTTTCAACTATCTGTCGCCTGCGACTCCTTCTCCTCAAGACTTAATTATTAGCCTACGTGTTCTTCCAGACTATGTTCTACATCTATGCCAAATTTTATTGAGAACCGTTTAGCCACTCTGGAGATACCTTCTAACAAACATCCATCCATACATCCAAACATTCGCATTTATAATAGTAAGACAATTCTAGGTATAACGGGTCGTAAAGCATGACGCTTTGATGACCTTGAGCCGGCAAGATATTTGAATACAAGTATACTAACTTGGGATAAGCGTAGGCCAGATGTGCCAACAGTTGCACAACATGTTTGACTGCAACTGGCTGAGCTGAGAGATGTTTGAGCACGAAGCCGGCGCGCTTGGCCAGCCGCCGCACCGCCCACGCCGCGCCCTCTGACTCCTGGCGGAACGCGCACTCCAGCACTGTCGACATCTGCAACATGGAACGCACTCCTCGTACTCAGACATATCGTCACTAAGGGCAATCCTAAGTTGAAATTACTTAATATTTGTTCGCCATGAACTGCAAAACTAAACCGATCATGAAGTTTGGTACTATGCGTGGAATTATGCAATTAAAAACCTTAAACTTATCCTTGGAAAAAATGGATAAGTAATCAAAAAACAATTTAACAAATTCTCCAATACTTTCACCGTTTATACGTACTTCTGTATAATCAGCCGGGTCCAGCATTAAGTATGAGTTAGCCCAGACTTTGAGCAACCAAGAGACGGTGGCGGAAAGTTCTGGACTCAGCACACCGCCGAAACCCGCTTCTAACGCTGCGCACTCCCATTCGTTTATACGTATAATTAAACCGATTAATCTGTAAAGTAAAGTAAAAAATATCATTTTGTGACTAAACAAATATATGGACGTATGGATGGATGGATGCATGGATCTCGCTGAAATTTAGCATACATATAGAACCTTTTACTTTTATCTTTTTCTTTTAATTCCGCGGGCAGCGTCGCGAGCATTTGCTAGTTTAATCAAAATATAATTGAAATTATATTTTAAAATTATAAACCAATTAAAAATATAACTATACTTAAAAATTTAAATTTGAAATTAAATAATACTGTAGTTATACATATAGATATGTAAGCAAGTCTTAAATGTTATTATTTTGTTAGTTTTAACATAAATTTTCTAAGATTATATCTAATCTCTAAGCACAAAAAAAGATCTTCAAACAATAAGCATACAAAAATCGTGTTACATCTTCAACGTGCAGGAACAAAAGTTAAAGGTCAAATGAGTCGCTCTACTATATAAACTAAGAAATATACAATAAAAAAATACATATATACTTGCTTTTAATGAATACTTTATGTAATATTCTTTGCGTGGTAATATTGATTTAAATCGCAATTATTTTTGAAGTATTTATCTATTACACTTATACATTACTACTACTACTATTACTACTACTATTACTTACTACTCCTCCATACATCTCTATCACTCGGATATGAAGGCTGATAGAGATGTATGGAGGAGTAATGCACACTGTGCCGACCCTCGATAGGGATAAGGGCAGGTTGATGATGATCTATTACACTTATGTTTCCGTTGGCACATTATTTTGAAATATTCAATTTATTTTAGTTACTTAAATACTTATATCTTAGTTGTGTATGATTAAATATATGGAAATAAAAATGATTTAACATTTAACTATACTATGAAAAGCTTTCAAATATTTATACACTGTAAGTTTCGGAGACCAAAATCTCTGTATAAAACAAATCGCCATCTCTGTCTTCAGCTTTAACAAAACAGATATAACAATATGTTTTAAACGGGAATTTTAATCTCAGAAACTCATGATTAGTGTTTTTAGTGTTTAACAGAATTATGAGCACATAAAGCTACACTGAAACGGCAAATTTTTACATATTTGAATTTTAAAATAAACTAAATCTGCCTCTAATATAGCGTAATGATTAAACATAATGCAAGCATAAAATTTTAAATTGATACATAGAGGTTAGAAACATTACTTATACCGCCAGCTTATACGGCTAGTGAGTTTATAAACTGACAAACTGTCTACATACTTGACAATAGGATCGATGTTATCCTGAGTGGCCGTCTCTCCTACTAAATAGCGAAGTGATGCGTCTATATTAGCATTTTCTCTAATACTGTATCGCATCAACTCGGGCGGTATATTGGCTTCAGTCCTCGCCTCTCCCGATCCATCCATGGATAAGAAATGTCCTAGAACATGTACATAATTAAATGTCACAACATTGAAGGACACCAGAAGTTTGGCAGTTAACTTATATTGGCATGGAAAGTGTTAACATACTTTTACTGTTATACATATACTAGAAAAAAAAATCTTATTTCTTACATAAATGTGAATGTTTAGATGGATGGATGTTTGAAGGTATCTCCGGAAAGATTTAACGGATTTTGATGAAATTTGGCATACATATAGAACATAGTCTGGAAGAACACATAGGCTACTTAGATTTTTTTTTTAATGCCACGCGGACGGAGTCGGGGGCGACAGCTAGTAAAAAATAAAAATAAGTAGGAGTCTGTTATATGGTTGTAATTATAATTATTGTTAAAAAACGATGAACTTACCAATAATCATCAAAATCCAATGTAAATCTTCAAACAGCATTGACAATTGATCTGCACTAGACACTGGTAACTTTCCCGTGTGCATTAATTGCAGTTGACTTTCCAATCTATTAAAAAATAAGTAATGGTGATAGTTTACACTACAGTATACTATCCTAAGGGGGAAGTGAATTTAATTCTTTGACTGTAATTGCTTTGTAGTGTTTACCTTTTGCTTCTATCTTGCAACAAAGTGAATAGCAAATGGCAGCAGTGTGCTGGTGCTTTCCGCGCCATCGCTCCTATGGTCATCAACACTTCATTGTGTAGCTCTCTCTCGTCTTCCTCTATATCATCCTTTATATCTTCCTCACAGCCATCCTTAGCTTCTAATCCTCTACAACAATCAATTAATGTGCAAACTTAGAACCATTTTCCACCAATATGACTTTTATCTCTATAAGTAATATTGTACCATATCCATTTACATTGTCGACACTGAAGAAAAATCTTTTACATGTAGTGGAAAAGATGTTTTATTCAAACTTATAAATGTTTAATTTGTTTATGTATCATATTTTGAGTGTCTAAATGAAAATAAAACTTACCTAGTACCATCAGGCGGAGCTAATCTACATTGCAAATATGTGTTGAACACTTCTATGCATGGATTTTGTAATGTTTCCGTTGTGTATCCATCAACATCATGTACCAAAGAACTCCAAGTGTGCAAGAATTTGTTCAACGCTTCTCTTAATACTGTGTCTTCATTCAACTGAAATAATTGCATATAAAATAATAATATAAAAAAGTACATTTTCTCACTTAGATTCAAGTTTTACTTACTCCTTCTTCTATTATCGAACCTCTTATACAATGGCATGTGTATGTTGTTAGATATTGAAGAAAAGCTGGAGGTGTCCCAGCTATCAAGGTAGGAGTAAAAAACTGTATCAATCTCCGATATATCTCTGATATACCGAGCATTTCCCTGTGATTCGGCTGAATGAATGACAACATTCGCAGAAAATTGTTCACATAATGCTCCAAGTACTGTTGTTTCAAGTTACTAGCTGATACTACTACACCACTTAAGCTTGCTAGTTGTACTAGACAAGTTAATGACGGATTAGTTAGCTCAGGATTTGACCTAACATATATATGTAGTTCAAAGAACAATGCTATGACTTCAGGTTTTATTATGGTATCCCGCCAGTTCATATTTAACCTTAATGCGGGCGCTGTCTCACTTTCATATATAGCTTCAAATGCACCAATCAACCGTTTCGATAGTAAAGGTGATACATGACTCCAGCAAAGTATTGTTTCCATAATTGAAATCAACTGTTTTGTTAACATTGCTTGTTCACCTTCAGGTGGATGTCCTGAACGCATGATTTGCTCAAGCACTCCAATCGTGAATCGAAATATTCTCTTCAAATTCAGTGTTTCAAATGATTTCTTCAAACGAAAATGTACCTCCCATATTAACCCAACATCTGCTGTTTTAACTGTGATAGCAAACTCTTGCATTATAGCTAATATCAAGGAACATGCCAGCTTCTGTTGACTAATAGGTGGGGTAACAATTATTTTCTCTAATTCAGCCAATAAGGCTTTTCTTTCCCTACCCCCATCATCAACACTTCCCCTTTTGATGATTATGGCTATAGTCTGAAAAATACATCATAATTATTTTTAATATTGCCAGTATTTCCTTCATACAAACCATACAATTAAAGCATACCTGTAGCAACCTCTCTTTCACAAATGGTGGATTTTCTTTTCTCAGCAAATAATTCAGTAAATACTCTCGTATTGATGAAGTATCTTCTTTGGATAGTAAACTCCATTCTCTTATCAGACCTGCTTTGATGAGACCCGCAGCCTCAAATAGCACATATTCTGAGGTAGACTTCTCAAGAATTTCTCGACACAATTGATAAGGATTTTTTGTTGTTCGAAATTCTAGGAAAACACTTTCAGCTTGATGGCGTTGTTCTGGTGTCACCAGATTTGGTGGTGCCTAAAATAACATTGATACAGTGGTCAGTGCTGTAAATATGAATACTTTGTTATTTCATTGATATCGCTTTTGTTTGGAGATACTTCTGAGGTCAGAGTATTCAACAGTAGGAATATAAGCGAAAACCTAGTCGATATGAAATGCCAACAATCAAGGTGTGACAATGGTACTCAGCACTCTGGTGACTCTGATTTTGTTAATAGGCTTGAATTTATGCTATATAAAAGTTATATGTTAAATGGCTTCAATACAAGAAAGTTACTATAATTTGTTTTTTTTTTAATTACTATAAGCCTTGTTTACAAATAATGCGCATCTCATTATAACTACAGTTATTGACAACATAAACAAATACTTATAATAATGTTAGCGTAAAATAAATGTTATATATTTCACAATACTATGTGAATTTTAACGATTTTCGCATCCAACTACATATATATTTTTACATATTTTATTTTTATACTCATTATTACAACAAAAGTTTATATTACCAAGTTAACCTCTATATTTTTGTTTTTTAACCTTAAAGTTGGTATCTCGATTAAAGAAAATTGTCCTCAAATAGTTTTATATATTAATTAAAGTATCAAAGTACTTCCTATGCTATCTAGTATTCCTTTATTTTATAAAATATTTCTTACCATCAATATTTGTGCCGCTGCCTCCAAGGTTTGAATGGCAGAGTCACTCATTTTGTTTAATAACAATGGATATTGAAAGAAAGGGTATTAACAAATTAAATAATTGTAGTCACTTACACCAACTCATATCATAAATCAAAAAATTTTGATATTCATACATCGCAAAATTGCAATTTACGACATTTACAAAATGAAAATAATGGTTGACAAAGTGGGGGAGTAATACAGATACAGAGTATACAAAATAGTCAAAAAGTCAAAACATATTTGGGTTACCACTTTTATCAAAATGTTTATTTGGTGCAGTTAATTTTATGTCTCTTTATGTATACCTCACTAGGTATATGTTTAATTTTATATTGTAATCCCTATAAATAATGCAAGGACATCGATCATGAAATAATATGTGACAAAAATGTACAAATGCACCTTATACTCGCACTCCTATTACTCAGTCTGAAACACGGAAAACTCGTTATCTCATTTTATTCAAGGAGAATAAGAGGGACGAAGATATGTGTAATGTGATGATGTGTTTTTGTGAATGTTTTGGCAGTGGAAACGTGCGGACACCCTCGAAAATATTATTTATTTACCCTTCTGTAAGAATTAAAAATAAAATATGTATAAGTGAGACTTATTCAAAGTCTTAAATCAATATCAATGAACGGAGACATTAAAACGGTTACAAATTACTTGACTCACAGTGATGGCTTAATATGTAACAATTTTAACATGTGAAGCCCATTGTAGAAAACCAGTCAGTGCTGATCACGTGTATGTAAACAGATATTTTTGATAGCATGATCGTTTTGTGAATGCTGATTGGTCGTTTTGTAAGAGGCGATTCTATACACCGAAACAAGAAGCCCCGTTAAGATTTAAGATCTTATGACTTTTATCGTAAATCAAGAATCACCTGGCATCATAAACATAACATTAAAAATAAATTATCGTAGTATGCCTAGGTAACTGTAACATGATATTGTGGTCAATAATGTGGTTGTAATGCTAAGCGTAAAATATGTTTTTACAGCATTGTATGAATATTAAATTCCATTTGCGGCCGAGTCTAATGTAATTTACATATGGTTACGAGACGTAGGTATTATTATCATTGATTTATTCATTATTAATACAATCGAGGTATTTAACTAGAATGATGCAGTAGTTTTCAAATATTCCAAGTGGCGAGTTGCTGCGCAGAATATAATTTTAGTTATAGCTGGATGCCAGCCGCCTTGGGCCACCAAGTAGTCCCAAGAGATATTTCAATTTTAGTATGAAAATAAAATCGCAACGAACAATCGCTATGTAGTATGTGCTAATAAATATACCCAGTATCAAAACCAAACGTTTAATATTTTTAGTATTCTAGGAATCGAACCTAAGAACGTAATTAACAATTGTTTTTGATGTTTAGATAATTATCTTGTGCAAATTTTTCATTGAAAACTCTATAATACTTACTGCCGATAAAAACATTGGTGCATGTCACGATTAATCAGAAGCTTTTTTTATTAAAATTATAAATGTTATAAAAACGGCAAACAAACAAGCGGCGACCTGATTTCGCAAGTAGTTAAAAGGTGAAAATGTACCTTTACAGAGGTGAGTTACTTGACTTACAGAAAAGGAATATATTCCGCATCCTACATATCCTCTTAATTGCTAAATCCACTTCCTCTTGCTATCCTTCCCTAAAAGACTTGAACTTAGTTACCTAGCTAGTACTAACTAGCACGGCCACAACTGCTAGACCCCAGTTTCTCTGCTTCCACCTTCGCGCTGCTCATTTGCCCCCTTATCTTACAAAAAAAACTTAAATCATGACTTGAGAGTTGAGGGAAAAATTGAAAATACCAAAGTTGATAATGTTATATATTGACTAGTTAACTCATTATGTGGTTATGTTAATTACACTTAGATGTTATTTCATTTCATATTCATTTTCAATTAATTGTAATCTTCTTTCTAATAAGTCTTTATTCAATTTGTGCATACATAGGAACTTTCCATTAAGAAATATAACAGGTATATCATTTCTATACAATCTTAACCATCTTAGATTTTCTTTCTCTGTTATATAAACTTTTTCTACTTTTACCCTGTTTCTAAAGGGCTCAAGATCTTCCAGAGCTATGTCACATAAAGGGCACGGATCTTTTGTGTAGAAAGTTAAAGTGGGTGGTCTTTTTATTGCTTCAGGTCTGAAAAAGGAGATTTTCAATTTCATAAAAAAACAAATGATGATATAAATTAAAATTGTTTAATTAAAATATATATTAAAATTTGATTATAAATCGCTAAACAGCAGAAAAATCTGACATTATGATACAATATAAAAACCTTTCCTTATAACTATTCTTAACCATATGTAACAAGTTTCATGATAAAGCAAAAAAAAATTAAGGCACAAAGTATCAGTTAGTTTATGCGTTACCAGAATAAAATAACAATAAATTCTGTATCATTAAAATGTAGACAAAGTATCACAAAAAATGTCACATAAATAACTTTGCCAGTTTTGTGCAATTCTAAACAATATCTTTTAGCCAAACAGTAAAATCATAGAAGTACAGTAAAGTAAATTTCTGTTATATAATTTAAAGATATTAGATGTAAAAACTATAATAATACAAAACATTTTAAAGTTTAGAAGTTTGTATTGTTATGTACACAGGTCAAAGCAACAAGGGTCACATAAGTATCAATTTTTTGTGACTATTTGTCTACATTTCAAGTAATCTGTGGTCATGATAATGTTCACATTATAGCATTATACAACACCAATTCACAATATATAGATAAAAGAAATACTATAGCATTTCTTATGTAGAACTTACAATTTTTCAATCATAATAGAAGACGCACCACCACCACCATTACAAATTGATGCTACACCCTTTTCACCTTTCTTCAGTGCATGACACAAGTGGACGACAATACGAGCCCCAGACATACCAATAGGATGTCCTAAACTAACAGCACCGCCATGAACATTAATCTTCGCTGGGTCCAAACCCAACAACTTCTGATTGGCTACGGCAACAACACTGAATGCTTCGTTAATTTCCCATAAAGCTACATCATCTTTATTGACACCAGTTTTTTCTAACAGTTTAGGAATAGCAACAGCAGGAGCTATCGGGAAATCAATTGGGTCACATTCTCCATCAGCAAAGCCAACAACTTTAGCAATCGGTGTGACATTCAATCTCTTAGCTGCATCTGCAGTCATTAAAACCAATGCCGCAGCACCATCATTTAATGTTGAAGCATTGCCAGCAGTTACAGTGCCATTCTCCTTTTGAAATACTGTAGACAATTTTGTAAATTTCTCAAAGTTCACCCTTTTATATTCTTCATCTTCCTCAAACATGACTGGGGGAGCTCCTCGTTTTTGAGGTACTGGAACAGGTACTAACTCGTCAGCAAAAGCCTTTTGTTCATAGGCAGCAGCACTTCTCTTATAGCTAGAAATAGCATAATCATCTTGGTCTTTTCTTGAGATTTCTAATTTTTTAGCAGTGTTTTCTGCACAGTTGCCCATATGGAACTTGTTGTACACATCAGTTAGCCCATCAAAAACTATTCCATCAACTAATTGAAGCCCACCATAGGTGGTTTCCCCACGTTTCAAATAAAATGGCACATTTGACATTGACTCCATTCCACCAGCCAACATAACATCTTGAGCTCCTGTCTGAAGGCCTTGCGCTGCTAGCATTATTGACTTCATACCAGAAGCACAAACTTTATTTACTGTTGTACATATAGTGCTTTTAGGAAGGCCTGCAAAAATGACAGCTTGCCTTGCAGGGGCTTGTCCAAGATTAGCAGAACAAACATTTCCTATGTATACCTAAAACAAAATGAATGATACAAGACTTTAATAATTTCATCATCAATTTTTTTTTAAATTACATCTTAGATATCAATTTTTTTTATGAGATAAACTCGTATCAAATTTTGTTACTGGCGCAACGTAACGTAACTCTAAGCATTACCGTTATGTTTGTGGTTCCTTTGGTTTAGATTCTTCAAACAATTTAAAACTAACTGTACATTATAAAAAGTAGGTAAGTTACACTAACCTCTTTTACTTCTTCCTTAGGAATACCGGCTCTTTCAATGGCAGCTTTAACAGCTACAGCACCCAGTTCACTTGCAGACAAACTCGCTAAACTTCCTCTAAAAGAACCCATGGGGGTCCTAACTGCTGATGCTATAACAACCTCATTGAGGGTAACGTTTGACAAAGATCTTGACATCGTTTTCAGAATCTAATAAGCAAACGGCAAAATAAAAATATTTTTTATTAGAAAATAATACTGTATGGTAAGTAATACCAAGTTAATCGACCTATTGCTACGGCGACTGAAATCCAACTAAGAAAAAAAATGACAGAATGAAAATGTAAGTTTAGATAAAGTACGTACCGTGCCCCCGATGCATATTTTAAAAGTAATCAGATTTGTTCCTTTGAAGAGAAGCATTGTTAATTTTGATTAAAAAAAAAGTATTCTTACACCTATTCACAAAACGTGACACAAGATCTTTGATTAAAACTTAATGAATAATAATTTGATTGAGATACTTTATCACTGTAGAAGTTGCCTATTTATTTAAAGTTATCAGTAATAGCGCAAATACGATATTGAACCTTATCTTTTGGCGCTATAGTTCAATTTCATAAAATCATTTCGAAAAGAAAAAGGTGAAACAAACTTTGACCGGTTATTTATTTATGTATAGATCATTATATATCACACACGGGTGGTGCATATATACTTTTAAGTAATTTTACATATAGAAATAAATTGTTATGAGATATTTAATAGTTATTTTCAGTATCTAACCCTATTTGCAGAAAATTGCATTTTATGTTTTGTAGATGTTTTGATTCTTGATTTATTACAAAATATTTAATCTTTAGACGCTTAAAGTTCTTGACATATTAACAAAGAATCTTTGAGCAAATTACTTAAAAATAGACTTTTACAAAAACACAATTTGAATTTCTTTAACATTCCATCCTCTTTTGTCGCTTTTGTAAAGTAATCTTTTTCGAATACAGGACAACACTCTAATCAAAGTCAAATGTCATCAAATCAATGTCATCTTTACTTTATTGCCCAATTGTCACTGTCTGTCAGTTAAGAAACTACTTAATTTTTGTAAAACCAAGGTGGTAATTAGTAATTGTTAGAAAATAGCTTACACATGTTTTTTTTGTTTACAAGTAGCAAAAGGCTACCGTACCGTTGTAGGTTTATTTGCTGTTACATTAATCGATGTTAATATTAAAAGTGAATCTGTTTGAATATTTATCAAACAATGAATCAGATCTATAGAAAGGAATTAAGGTATGGGGTTATTGCTTTTAATCATAGTTTTTCAATAAAATAAAATACTAAATGTAGCCAATATTATTGTATGAATTTTGATTTCAATTTTCTACCATTCTAAATATTTTGTGGAGTCGTGGCGTTTACATTTCGTAACAACTACTTATAGACGTTAAAGATAAGAAAATTAAGTAACGCTGCATTATTTTGAAATTTAATCCAAACAACCCTATTTTAAATGAAAACTGACCATAAATAATATTTTCAGGCAGTGAATATGTCAGAAACACAACTTCAATTTTTATTCAACACGGTGCTGAAATTTGGGTATGTGTACCAAACATTTTACCTGTCTCATGGGCTCACAAAAAGCATGCTGACATTTCAATTCATATGGTGCTAAAAATTAATTTATTCATTAAAAAATGTTTCTTCTCCCACTGCTATACATAATTTATAAAATTATATAATAAAGTTATATATTTATGTGGTATACTTGTGTTACCAGCAAGACAATAACTGTAGATCTCTGCAATGTTAGTTATAGGTATTTTAGATAGGAGGAGGGGAAGTGGGATGACATAATTACCTGAAAATAGTATACCTGATGACAATAGTATAATGTGGAATGTTTACTATTTTGGTTGCTATTCTTATTGTTTTAACATACAAATGTTTGTACCTAAAGCTTTTTTAATTACTCAATAGATTTCATCATGTATAGTTGTATTTGACATCAACTTTTATTTTCCTAAATTAAATCATACACATAGGGAGTAGATATATTAAAAAGTTTTTAACATACAACTTATTTCAGTCTCGTGAATTCACATAGTAATGTGAAGTTTAGCTTGTGTTCTTTAAGTGGGAGATAATTAAAGTTATTAGATAGTTGTGTGTTGCATGAACTCAATTTGCATTGTCTACAGTTAGCCATGTACAAGTGGTGGAAAATTCTTGCTTACCATTACCGTTTGTATGCTTTCTACTGCTATTTTTCATCAACATTTTCAGGGAATTTAATAAGTGACGTTTTTTTTAGGGTATAAGCTCCGAAAGGCCAGGTACAACCTAGGCCATGCAATAAAAATGGAAGCAGTTGATATGGATGCTGGCAGGTACGAACTGAGGGAGAGCTTACCAGGAAGCAGTGTTGACAGTGACGCATCTAGTAGTCTTTTAGGTAGCAACGATGTTAGTGAACATAGTGATAAGACATCTGATGATGAAGAGGATTTACGTGAAGATCTACAAAAAACCATACCTGAATGTTACAAATCGGACTCAAATTTCGCATCACACAGTACAAGAAACATCACAAATGATGAAGAATTTCAAGCAACAGCTCTTTGTCAATTTATGGATATCTTGAATGACTTAGATGAAGTTTTAGATAAGTCATTATTAGCTTGCCTTGATGATACTGAAAATTTTGACAGTGATGAAGAGGATATTATATGTAAATTAAAAGATTGTATAGCTGACCGTGAACAACAATTGGATGATTCTCCAAGCGAAAGTTCTATGGATGATACACAAGTAGTTATCAGACAAACTGCACGGAGTCCAGAACCTGCTTTAGAAGATATTGAATTAGTACAAAATCTGTTTGAACAACCTCAATGTACAAGTCTCAGACGGTCTAAAAGTTATTCAGAATTACCTCAAAACCATAGAGATAGTCAGCAATTAGAAAGAGCTAATACAATGAATGATAACTTAAGAAATTCAATGCGTAGATTAGATCCAATAGTTTTGCCAGCTCTAAATACTGAATCAGTCTGTGAACCATTGACATTGCCTGTTATATTGTTTCTTGAGCATCATGTTAATATGAGACCAACCAGTGCACCACTACAATTACAAGTTACTGCTGCAAATCTGAGTACAAGTAGTGGATCATCAGGGCCTATAATAGTTGGACGTCGAGCATTACTTATGAACCGTGCATTATCTTTACCATCTCCTGGTGACAGTGATATAACAAATGCAGGCTGGAATGGACCTAATGGTAGGAGTATAGCGAGAAGTACAAGCAGCACATCGAGTTCTTCCGGTGAATCTTTAGCAGGTATTGCTGCTATGAATCAAAATGGTGCGGGAACATCTGATGAGAGGTAAATATTAAATATTGTTCGATTTTCACCATGACAAAGTAAGAGAAATAATTGTAGTCCCTTATTACCGCTTGTATTAGAGAGAGCAGGGTAGATAAATAGAAAAGAGAAAGTGATTTAGAAATATTTTGTTACAGAAACGAAGAGACTGATGAACCGCCTTTTGGAGTTTGGCCACATCAAATGAGCTCAATGCTGGCGTGCCTTAGTTGTACTGTTGGGATATTCAATATATCTAGATTTTCCGTATTCAGTGTGCATTACGGAGGTGAGTTTTATTTTCTTAGAATTAGATTACGTAATAGGAAGTGAATGATAGGACTGTTCAAAAGTTAAGCCAATGATAGTGTCAATCAATTTAAAAGTTTTCTATAGATAACATTTCACATTTGATTTGATCCTGAAATAAAAATTAAATAAAATCTCTATACAGTAATATAGATTGCTATAGCTATTTAAAAAAAAATACATCTTTAAAGGAGGTTAATTAGGTTTACTTTTTGAGCAAAAGATTTTTTTTTAAAGGGTTAAAAGGCTTTCTTATTGGCACAGTTATATCTATAAAGTACGTAACTCTTGATATTTGATCACATACAATTGTGTAACGAATTGATAGCGAAGTTAGCTACTATAATTAATCTCTGACCACATTTACTAAGTTTATGATTTCACAAATCTGACTCATAACAAGAGACTATTGCTTTACACAAAAACCCAATTACAAACATGACAGATTCCATTTAAATACAGATAACCTATACTATTTAATGTATTTTCAACTGTTTTTTTTTCTTTTTAGCATGTTTCATTCTACAATTTTTCATACTATCTCTTTTCACTGGAATACCATTATTTACACTACACTTATGCCTCGGCCATGTATTACAATCTGGACCTATTGATATGTGGCGTATATCACCGATATTCAAAGGTGTTGGTGTTTCATTGCTGCTAACACAAGCGGTTATAGGAATGTACAGCATAGTAAGCCTGTCATGGATATTCGTCTATTTCCGAGATTCGTTTATAACTTCCGATGATAAGTACAAATGGGCTTTACCGCTAGGATTCAGTTTTGATGGTGAGTGAAATTTTTTATGACACTAATATAACCTACTAGCTGTAGCCCGTGACATTGTCCGCGCGGAATTAAAAAAAAACTTAATTAGTAACATGTGTTTTACAGACATTCATACATACAAACATTCGCATTTATAATATTAGTAAGATTAACATATTTATGCATACTTTAACATATTACTTTAAAATTCTCCACTGTTTTTTTTCTCTTTATTTTATTTTAGACACTCGACTCGGTCTTTTCAACATGTCAGTCCTATAATTTGCTTAGAAAATAATTACAACTAATATGAGCAAAAAAAAACAAATAATAATATCTAGAGTGTTCTTTAGTGTAATATTAATAATTTTATAGCGGCCAACATACTTATATTACTTTACAAGATAAAATAAATACAATAGAAGTGTTAAATTAACGCTAATCCTTTATTTACGTTAGATTACAACGCGCTAAACACTTAAAAAGCGGTTAATAAATGTTCCAAAAAAATGGAAAGTACTCGCTTTTATTATGGACCGATGAAAATGAAATCGGCCACGGTAAATTGTTTTGAATGCTTGACCAATTTAATGAAATTTAGTTAAAATTAAACAAAAAAAAATCATTACGTTAACTGATTTGTAATTGGTGATAGCGATAAATCTATTATAATATTATCTTTTAATTCAATTTGCTTTCCAATATTTACCGATGTATAAATTTCCATAAAAAAGATATTTATTTGGGCGTAAAATACAATAGAACTATTGTTACAAGAAATTCGAGAACAAATTAAAATAAACTAATAAGATTCGTCCTCAGTTTATTGGAGTGTAAATTACAGGAAATATTTGAGAAGGTCGACATAAAAAGTGCACGATGAAGTTTTTTTTTCTTCAATACTATCCTTGACTATTATTTCATGCCAGTACGATGCTATCATAGAGTGTGTAAGTGATACAGTAATTACGACACGAGGAAGATCCAAGGTTGCGTACATTGCGTTTTAGTTTTTATGTGTACATACATTTCGAGACGACTGAGTATTTAGGTTCGTTTGAATTAAACAATTTAATTTCCTGATGT